CGTTCTACATCCTCGTGTACGTCGACGACTTGGTCTTTGCCACAGCGGACACTGCTGGACTCGCCTACGTGAAGTCCGAGCTGCTGAAGAGACACACGTGCACAGACCTGGGTGAACTGCGCAGCTACCTTGGCTTGCAGATCACTCGGGACAGAGCACGCCGCACCATTACCCTGACTCAGTCACACATGGTGCAGCAGGTCCTTCAGCGCTTCGGCTTCACGTACTCCTCGCCTCAGGCCACTCCTCTGCCTACTCGCCACTCACTCTCAGCTCTGCCTTCGGATGAGTCCGTAGAGTCGAGTGGTCCGTATGCAGAGCTTGTTGGCTGCCTCATGTACCTGATGACCTGCACACGACCTGACCTTGCATACCCTCTGAGCATCCTTGCACGCTATGTTGCTCCTGGGAGACTCCGACCAGAGCACATGGCTGCAGCGAAGAGGGTATTGCGCTACCTGTGCAGTACGTCGGGCATGGGGCTAGTGCTTGGAGGGCGGAGTCCAGTGGTCCTTACTGGGCACGCAGACGCTTCTTGGGCTGACGACCAGGCTACGCAGCGGTCGTCACAGGGTTACACCTTCAGCCTTGGTTCCGGCTCTGTCTCGTGGCGGTCTACTCGCTCGTCTTCGGTTCTCGGCTCCAGTTGTGAGGCTGAGATCTACGCCGGGGCCATGGCTGCACAGGAGCTTCGCTGGCTCACCTACCTGCTGACTGACCTTGGAGAGCTGCCTCGTTCTCCTCCAGTGCTGTACGTAGACAACAAGGCCATGTTGGCCTTTTGTCGAGAGCAGCGCTTGGAGCACAGAACGAAGCACATTGCTCTCCGCTACTTCCTTGCTCGTGAGCTGCAGCAGCGTGGTCAGTTGCGACTTGCTTACGTGGCCTCTGAGGCCAACACTGCTGATGTGTTCACCAAGGCACTTGCGCCTTGCGACCATCAGCGCTTTTGTACCCAGCTGGGTCTTGTACCTGTCTTGCCTCACTTGCTCTCTTCTTGACTTTACTTGTACTTTGACATATATATACCTGCTCTTGCTTGTCTAGTTTTATATATATGTCTGTACTCCTGCATGTGAACTGGCCTCTGGCCTTGCTCTTGTGCTCGGACTGTGTGGTGACTTTGTGATCCACCCTGAGCTTGCTTTGCTTTGCTTGACTGGTCTTGTGACCCCTTGTTCTCCCCCACTTTGCCTATGGGGGTGTGTCAGATTATTATAGCTGATGCATGTTTGTAGGCTGTAGTGGGGTAGCACATATGGGGTACAGTTTGCTAGGGTTGTATTTGTACCCAACTCTGACTTAGTCAATCCATTCCTGTTCATTCCTTTTCACATTTGTGATACATAAAATACATAGTCGAAGTCATTTTAGAAAAAAATTGGCTTTATACCGAGAAATCATACCAAGAACAACAAAAGAAAGCAAACTTTCTAATCAGTTGTGATTGAATCTGATGCATTAGTACACGAATAAAATGGAAGTATCACATGCTAGCGGAATATATATTATAAATAGTTATGGTTTCCTCGAGTCCTAAGCTTGACAAATTGTAGGTAAATAAAAAACACTAAAAATAGATTCAGAAAACCCCTTTTTGTTACGCGGCGAGGGCACACTTATGAGGGTTGGGATCCATTATTGCACAATATAATAATATAAATATATAATGTATTAACGTATATCACCACAAATAAGCAAATAAAAAAACCTGAAATACAAGATGAATACAAACTAAACGTAGATATTATTTAAGAAACTTTTGGGTAGATCATTCGTAAAAAAAAAAGAGATAATTATAACCATTCAAGATTTCTCTATTGAACTTTATGGTCTCATATCATTTTATATATATAAAGACCATGTTTTTTTCGCCTTCTCATCTCACGATTTTATGTGTTGACCAAGGCTGCAAAACTTACAAGAATTGTTTTTTGTTCAATGCCATTTTTAGGAGATTTACTGATTTTTCTTCGACCTGCGAGCTTTATGAGACGACATGGTCGAACCTACCGGCATCTTTTTGATATGAAGTAGAAGCAAGTGCAGCCCAAATACGAAAAATCGAGAGTGGGTATATAACATAATTATCAGAACAAACACATTCACTATTCAGTAATTTTCGTAAAATTTAGTCTGGTCCAATTGGGTTTTCCAATTGGGTTCGGAATTATTCGTGCATGGAACCGTTATCAATCCATTCATGCGGCTAAAATTGCCACAAAGGGGAATGTGAGGGAGGGGCTACGCCCAGGAATTAAGGAAAATGCTCCTCGTTTTTGGAACACAAAATTAGCGCGTGATCTTATACCAGAACATTTATACAAGAGCACCTGAGTAATGTAGTATGCCTTTGAAAAAGGGACGGTTCCGGACTGGAGGCCTTGCATGTACAAGAGTGTACAGCATGACACTGCCTTGAACTGTATAATCTCCCGATCTAAATGTACAGCTGGGTGCTTTAGAGTGGCTGAGCCGGCTAGCACCGAGACAAAAACTGTAACGAAGGCGACAAACCTCTGGTCGGTGGCCACACAGCAAATACCGCTCTGTATCACATCTGCAGCCCACTGAAACATGTGCGGCAGCCGACTGAAACATGTGGATTCAATAGAATGTTTACAGTTCATGTGTTTCAAGCCAGTTGGTGTGGAGACGACAGCCCAAAACAGTCGATTGATTTGAGGGCAGCCCAACGAACTCGGAGAGTCTATCAGGTGTAAGTGTTAGGTCCTTTTTGAAATTCTCACCCCAGGACGCGACGACATTGTTTGATTGGGCGAATCTGGCATTAAAGGTTTGAGTGAAGAGTTTTTGGAGTCATTTAGTCCTGGAACTATTGATTCCTGCATTCCCCGATATTCGGGTATAATTTCGAACCCTTCTGCCAGAAGTGGATGTGATATCAAGGCCCTTGTATCAGCTGCTGTGGCTCATGAAGAAGTCGATTCCCTCGCTCGGCCGAATTTTGCATTTTGCCGTGAAAACCCGAAACTGGTGTCAATGCCTTCCGTAAAATATCCAGAATTTGCTAAGTACTTGAAACACAAGAGATTCAGCTCTAGCACAGTGACTGGCGTTTGTGACTGAAACGTGATCAGTAGCGTTTGTGAGTGGAATTCCAGAATCGGCTGTCCTTGAAACACCATAGATTCAGATCTAGTACTGAGACTGGTGTGTAAGTGTTAGTCATCGTACCTAGAAGACCCACCGACAGGACTCTCGTTTCCCAACTCACACAACTAAAACAGCCAGAACTTACGCATAGAGACGTTACCGTCTCTGTCTGTTGAGTGACACTCTTTCAACGAGCCAGGAGACCCAGGTTCGAAAAGGCAGGATCAACTGCAAAATTTCCACCCTGCTAGATTCGACATCGAAAAAATTAAACACTGCTATTTCTTGGGTACGACTGCCAAGGAGCACTGCCAGGCAGGGTGAACATGATCACAACTCGGATCAGCCAGTGTGCCCCAGAATGAATCGAGAGCCCTGGTGCCCGTTCGGTGAAACGACGGATGGCAGTGCACATTGCCTGTTTGGGAGACGGCTCGCCGAACCGGGGGACTTTGATGCAAACATGCATCACAAACGACGTATGCATACGATACCTGCTTGGGGCTTTCAGTTGACAAAGCACGGTTTTTGAAACTGTAAGCCAATTGCGCAGTTTCATCGCTTCTGGGGCAGGGTTACTGTCCAGTTGTCGAAAACTGGGCAGTAACTGTGTGCCAGAAGCGACAGTGCTGCGCTTTTGGCGTATAGTTCCAGTAACAATGCGGGATCAACTAAAACCCTATCTGCTTGCCACAAGGTCTGCAAGGACTGGGTAGCCAATCCCTGGAAAGATACACCCTGTTTCTCGACCCTCTCACCTTGCGCGATTCGCTGCTACAGTGCGGTCAGGTGCCATAAACCGTATGGCTGAAACCTGCGGGCAAAGCCGCACCAGCTGACGGAGTGGTACTGGGGGCAAAATTTTTCTTTATCGCTGTATACCCTTTTCAACCGCTTTGAAACGCTTGGTTAATGTTCTTTACCATGCAGCATCCTAGCTAACCGCTTTCTTGTGAATGTGCTTGTACCGTCGGTGATAAGACCATTTCAAACGTGGTGACGTTCTACAACCAGTGCATGTTCTGCAACCAGATGCTCTGCTAGCGCGAAACAGGGTGTACAATTTCAACCACAAGTTTCAGTTGTGGTTGGGTGCACTGCACTACACTTACACTTGAAGTGCAACATCAACATAATTTCAGAACCACCCGACCCGATTCTCGTACACCGGAAACTCCTTCTGCAGGAGCGTCTGCTACAGTATGTTTGCTTGGGGTATTTCGGAACGAAGTTGGAAGCACAAGCACCAAATCTGGCTTCCCCACAGTCCACAGCACCATTCCTCGGAAGGTATAGCATTCTAGTATTCTCTACGTTGTATTTTCAGAGTATCTGAACCAAGGAACTACTACTTCTAGTAGTAGACCAGCCGTCGCTCCTGCATCATAACGAAGGCGCAGCCTGAGTAAACTCGCAGGCGTTTTTCTCGGCGATTCGTTCTTTTGCTGGAAACAGTACGAAGCCGCGACCCGGGGTCCGTAGGTGTCATTAGTAGGGAAAATTGGTTGGAGAAAGGGCCGCAACTGGCCTCGCGAACCACGGTGGTGTCGAAATAGCTAGTCGCGGGTCGCGGAACAAGAGAATATCGCGTGAGGTACCGCACCGCAACTCGTGACTTCCTTCGCGTAGAATTTCGGATAAAAGGAAACACTGCGCGAAATCGTCAGTCCTGTCGTCGTTGCTAGTAGTTACAAATCTCGAAATTCGTCCCAAAGATTCGCGAAATAGGCTGTTCCCTACTGAAGGTCGGAAATTTGAGGCGGTTTTGGGGGATTTGAGGCTCCGGTTGTAAGTCGCGGATACCGTACATACGCAGTTCAGCTCTCGTCGAAGCGAAGTCAAAGCGCCACCTCGTGCTTCAAAATTGCCTCCACGCGCCGGCCATGGTGCGGCGAGTTGCTATCATGGACCGCGCGCTGGCACTCGCATTGTGGATTGCCGCCCTTGTCGCCGCACCCTCCGCGATGGTCGACGCGGTGACCCTCGACCCGACGCAAGGTGAGAGGCGCTCGAGGCCAGGCAGGAAATGATTGGCCGTTTTAAAGTCTCACGAACGTGTAATGATAACCCTCACCGCTATCTTCCCGCATTCCACTGCCTGCAGCTGCGGTTCTGAAGGACTCGGCGTGGGGGAAGACCTTTGATGGTTGGACCGACGCCAATCCTGACTGCAGCACCACTGCCGGCGTCACCTGCGACGGCACTGGGATGATAACAAAACTGTAAGATTTATTCGAGTGGTGTGGGATTATATTATCACAGATTGCGCCTATGGGGCGAGGGAGAAAGTCCTGTTGGTGGGGCATTGGGATCGTCCCTAGTTGAGTGTCGGAGCTACAGGTGCGTACAGGGGGGTTATGGGCGTGCTAGCCAGAAAGGTCTCCGGTTCGAATCCCAGTGTGCGCAAAGTGAGCGCCAGTGTCTAAACGAACCCCAAGAGAGGGGGAGACGACCCCAGTGGGGGGAGGTTGTTGGTGGGGCACTGGGATTGCATCGTCCCTAGTTGAGTGTAGTAGGGCTACAGGTGCGTCCTGGGATTTTATGGGTGTGCTACCACATACAAACATGCCCTTTTAACCCAGTCTGTAGTATGCTAGGCCATCAAGACCTCCCTGTGTGCTCACGTAGGGGATGAACTGCAAACTTAAGGAGCAAGGACCGGGCAAAACATTACCACGTTGTGCTGCGGAGCTGATGTGACAGTTCGAGAGATATGCTCGCTTGTTCAGTAACAGTACTAGAAAGCCACGCTCGTTCTCTCAATATATATTTTCTTATCTGATAGACTCTGACTGTAATTTGATGAACATGATGCTATGACAGTATCCATATTAGATACATCAACAGAGAACTTGTTGCGTTTGATCACATAATGAGTTTTACCCACGTATGGCAATAATGTCTGTGCATGCTCCAAATGTTTCGCAGTGAAATTGCATACACTCGGGTCTCAGGAAGCATCCCTTCAAGCATCAGCGCGCTGAGAAAACTACAAGTCTTGTGAGTCATGGCCAAGGAAAGGACTAAGACCAACTATACCCTCTTATGTGTGGCGTGCAAGATCTATGTTTGATATGCGCATGCGTCTATCATATATGAGCAACTATTTTTGCCTCGTCAATTTCCCTAGCCCACTCCCTGCTCTTTGGCCAATCCTGCAATAGCTCTTTTTGCTTCTCTGATTAGCTCTCTCCTAATTTTAATCGTTTGTTTTGTTCCCTGTGGTTTGTTGTCCTTGCTGTTCCTTTCCCATCATCATTGGCATTCTTCCTCTAATTCTAGTTGGGAGGCGCCTCAAAACTAGACCATTTCCCATCATCTTTGTCATTCTTCCTCTCAATCTTCCTTGCTCCTTCCGTCCTCCCCTGATCCCCCCTATCCGTCTCGCCAACGTGTGCCACCCACGCACCATCCAAATCCCAACACGCGAAACACGCTCATAACCACAGACGTCTACCAAGAGCGGAGCTCACAGGTCCCATCCCTGATGGGATTACCCTTCTGACGGACTTGACACACCTGTAAGCCTTCTGACACAGCTCACAGGCTTCATTTCATTCCTGATGGGATTGTGATTCTTCGTCCGCTTCTACCCCTTCTTCATCCGTCCCTCCTTTCCTAACTTCTAACTCCTGCTGCTCCTCTCCTACCACTATCCAGTCTCCTTTAACGTTGTTCAGTGTTGATGCGGTTGTTCCTTGTTAGAAACACTTTCCCATGAGCAACCTTCACATCTTCTGATGCGTTTCCCTATTGGTTAATAAGGGTTCTCTTATCTTCTGTCCTCGTGTATGCAAACTGTGTTGATGCATCAAACTTTTGTGGTTGTTGTGACAGAAATCTTGCCAGCAATCAATTGACTGGATCGATCCCTGAAGAACTTGGAGCTCTGTCAAATTTGAGAATTATGTAAGGCCGTTGCTGTCTTGGAGCTTCTTACCGTCCTCCCCAGTTTCTCTCCTGACCAATGCATGTTGGCTTGCTCCCACTCTTTCCAGTAATTCTTCTGTCCGCTTCGTTCCTAGGTGCAAGGAATCTTGGTAGCTTAATGCACGGCAATATATATAATAGACTCCGTACAATTGCCTTGCAGGACGGTTAATAAAGCTCAAAGCTCTGAGTGTCTTTTTCGTCTGATGACTATGAAGCTGCGATAATTTGGTCGTTAATATAAGCAAGCAGCAAGCCGCTGCAAAGAATCTGATCTGAATAGCAACAACAGAGAAGTAGCTAGTTCATACTTGTCTTTCTCTCATATTCTCTCCTGTGCATCTCTGTGTTCTCCGTTGCCCCAGAAACAAAAAAAAAGCCTCTAATGTACTCGCTGACAGTTTATGTGTGGTTTAGCCCCCCCTACCGTTTTGTGTGTGTGTGTGTGTGTGTGTGTGTGTGTGGGCGTGTGCGTGCGTGCGTGCGTGCGTGTGTGTGTGTGTGTGTGTGTGTGTGTGTGTGTGTGTGTGTTCGTTATCCCCTCTACAATCGGCTCCCTTCTACACAGGTTTTTTCCGAATAATAATCTCACTGGGCCTATCCCTTCTTCAATCGGCTCCCTTAAATATCTGGATTACCTGTAAGTGCGTTGCGTGTTATGCCCACTCACAGCCACATGCAATAGCCACATGCCCACTCTTGAGCAGCCTGACCCGCCAGGCTGCAATGGGCAAGGGGCACGCCCAGGCTGACCCGCCCAGGCTGTCCCACCACCCGGAGGAGGGAGGGGGGGGGGAGGGGAGGGAGGGGTTCGGGCCATCGATTGAGACGGACTGACTAGTATTTACCCGGACGTGGCATAACGGCAACGCCCACCAAAAATCGACTTATCACACCAGAATATGGATTGGGATGGCCACCCCAGCTCGGCCCATCCGGCCCACCCCAGCTCGGCCCATCCTGAGCCCATCCCACTGCCGTGTCCACTCTTCTCCTTCTTTTTCTCTTGTTGCTTTGCCTTCCCGCCCCTTATCCTCATGCCTCTGTGTATATTTGAATCAATTGCCTGCCTCTATTCTCCTGCTCTCTTATGTGTTTGTCTTTCATCTCGATGCTGACTCCCCTCCTTCCAACTTTGTATTCTCTGGCCTTTCCTCTAATTTGTATCCATGTTCCTCTTTTTACTCTGTCTCATCTTTGCTCATCCGTTCTCCCCACACATTGATGACCCCCACCTTTCTGCACGCACACACACGTGCCACTTGATTGCATATCATATGATCATAACAGAAATTTGTATATGAATCAGCTCAGCGGGTCGATTCCCAGTACTATTGGCTTGCTTACAGGCCTGACCACAATGTAAGACGCATGCTTTGTCTACATATATACCCACCTTCTAAACCCACCTTTCCTCACCTGTCGTCTTATTCAGCGACTCCCTTGCTGCCGTTTAACTGTCCTCTCTCTCTCTTTCTCTGTCCTTCAACCTTCTGTCCTCTCTCTCTTTCTAAATCCTTCAACCTTCTGTCCTCCCTCTCTCTTTCTCTGTCCTTCAACCTTCTGTCCTCTCTCTCTTTCTCTATCCTTCAACCTTCTGTCCTCTCTCTCTTTCTAAATCCTTCAACCTTCTGTCCTCTCTCTCTTTCTCTGTCCTTCAACCTTCTGTCCTCTCTCTCTTTCTCTATCCTTCAACCTTCTGTCCTCTCTCTCTTTCTAAATCCTTCAACCTTCTGTCCTCTCTCTCTTTCTCTATCCTTCAACCTTCTGTCCTCTCTCTCTTTCTAAATCCTTCAACCTTCTGTCCTCCCTCTCTCTTTCTGTCCTTTGGCCTTCTATCCTCCCTCTCTTTCTCTGACCTCCCAATTTCTGGTGCAATCTTAACCCTGTCCACACATCGATCACCATCAAAGCCCCCCCCCCCACTCCCCCCCTTCCCCCACTTACTTCTAACCCCCCCTCCTCAATTTCCTCTGCCCTGCTTCACCAAATCTCGTTCCCTTGTGACGTCAAGCCACCTGTCTTCGCCTGTTTGTATCTATTCATGACAATTGGTCAATGCCCATGATACCATCTCTCCCCCTCCCCTCCTCTCCTTCTCCCCCTGTTGAGTTTTTGTCTTCCCCGTGTTACATTTCCTTGTCTTCCCCCGTAGTACCATTCCCTTGTTGTTCCTACCCCATCTCTTGTTCCCTTTCTGCAAACGACTCACTTTTGAGAATATGAAAAGCCTGTCACTTCCCAGTCCAGAACATGATCTATAACTTTTGTGAGCTCGTGCCGTTGCTCCTACCAGTTTGTTCAGATTCATGGAGGCCTTACTGCATTTCGTCCTTGCATGGGATGCTGTGATCTGATTTTCACAGAGAGCTTTCATATAACAAGCTCACTGGTTCAATACCTCCAACAATCACCAGCCTTACAACCCTTTACAACCTGTGAGGCCTTGCTAGGTTGGAAAGCCTTCATTACAATATTTTCTCCTTCTTCTTGATGCTTGTTGATTCTATGATTTTCCTCCCTACACTACTCGTCATTCCTTGGAGGGGGTATGAGATGTCCTTCCTTGGATTGTCATCCAGTTCGATGGTTGTCCTACCCCTTGTGTTGTTCGTGAATATTCATCCATTCTTGGATTGTCCTCCCAATTCAATGCTTTTCCTCCCCTTGTACTGTTCATTTCGTAAAATATTCGTCATCAATATATCACCCCCCTCTTCCATGCATTCCTTACTCATACGCCCCTTGTTCACATCTCTGCTTTCATCCACCTCTTCCATGTATTCCTATCCGCGTTGAACGCTTCAGGTTTGTTGCCAACAATCAGCTCGATGGCTCCCTTCCCGTCGAAGTCTTTTCAACCCCTTGGTTGTTCTTTCTGTAATCCATCCAATCCTCCAACGCTCCCTGCTCACCTACCTTGTGTTTCACCTTATGGAAAAAAAAAAAAACAACAGTTCATGTCAAATTGAACCAGACTGGATCCGACATTGGTTTAAACTCCACCCCGAAATGGTCAAATCTCCATGGTTCGAGTTGAACCGAGTGTTCTCAATCAGGCAGAATCAAGGGGCCTGTGGAACATATATTAGCCTACTAACAACTATGATGAGGAGGGGTTGGGCATATTACTCCGAAAAAACAGTGGAGCCCAAAATTGAGCTGCAACAACTCTGCCTGGTAACCGACAAACCAACCAGGATTGGTCAGTGGATCAACCATAAATCGCAAACCGATCCGAGTTGAATGGATTGATCGGAACCAGCACAGCTTCGAGTTGACATTTTTTGGGGGAAAAAACGACCTGCTCCTCTTCTCGAAATCTAGGAATGTTGCTATGATGAGCTGGGTTCATATATGGGAGTCATTTTTGAGAATTCTGAGAAATAAATTTATGATTAGAGTACGTGACAGTAACTATAACCATATAAAACTTACTAGGTAAGCATTTGCTGATAGAATATAAGTTTCTCTATACGTTATACATATGCTTATTGACATGTACATACTCCATGAATAGAACTGTCATTTTGTGTGCGTTTTTTTCGTCGCCTTGCATGTCTTGTGATCCCCCCTTCCGTCACAGATCCCTTGAAGGAAACAAACTCAGTGGTTCGATTCCCACTCCAGTTGCGCCATATGCTCCTCTAAGGGATCTGTAAGATCCCATATCCACACAACAGTCTTTCTTCCTCCCTCGCTTCCACCAATTTTTCTGTTTGACGCTTCTCATCCCTAAGACCCCGGTGTTCTCATGCTAGACTAGATTTGTACCTGGCCATGACCGCCCAGTGCCCCTTCCGTATCTCCATTCGGCACTGTTGTTTCGTTTCTGCTAGTGGTCTTACCATGATGTTCTTACGCACCGCTCATTGTCGTAGGCGGCCCTACCAGACCAGAATCCTCTGAAAGAAATGCAAAGATGGCAAAAGGTAGGAGGGCTTTAAGATGGCTGACCTGAGTCGAGGTGAATTGCCTGCAGACATTCTCACAGGGTCAGCGAAGTGGTTGCATTGCACCCTCCAAACTTGTGTTTCCCATTAATCTGCTCCTCCATTTTATGTGCGGACGGATGTCAGGCATAGTAACAGCTGACATCTAACCACTGTTCTTTGATTTTATCTGCGCATATTGTTATTATTTTACAGTTCACAGCATTTCCTGACATTGCCAGTGCTCATTTCACATGCCCGTCTCATCTGTATTTTGCTCAATCTCCGTTTATATGTGATGCCTATCATCTCAGATACCTTGGTAACAATCAGCTCACAGGCTCAATTCCTGGAAAGCTCAACTTGCTTACAACTTTGCAGTTTATGTAAGTCCTTGGGTTCCCATACCTCTTTCCTTCCGTTCCGTGCTGTCACCAGCTATTACCTTCTTTACCCTTCGAAGCACCTTCGGCTCCTCTCTTCTCATTCCAATACCCGCTCACGGCTTCTTTTCTGAAAAGCTAGCACTGCGGATGTATCCATACATGCATGTGAATGTAATCAGGCAGTAAACGTTCGAATTTGCAGTCCTACTCGATTGATTCAACCGCTGCTGCTCGTCGAGCATCTTGTGCCCTGCACGTGGTGCCTCTCATTTCATGTGTACTTATATTCTGATATCCAAGCACTTCAACCCAGTCTGCCACTTCACGACTATAATGAATAGTTTTCTCTTCTGCTTATATACAAACTCATGAGGGGCCTGCTTTGCTCACCCAGTCTGCTCACATAGTTTACCCTGTGCTCTTCTTGTAACGATCAGCTCATTCGATTTTTTCTCTCCCTTGCATTCTTCAAACCATCACAGTAACATCTCATCCAACCTGCTCACAGGCAGCATCCCTGCTGATTTCAGTGCCCTTGGGAACCTGTGGAAACTGTAAAAGAAAGCTCTTTCCTCCTCCTCCTCCTCCTCCTCCTCCTCCTCCTCCTCCTCCTCCTCCTCCGCTTCATCTTCCTTTTCTCGTGTATACGCTCTTGTGTTCTCAGAGTATTGCCATCACTCCCTCTGCTCTCCTCTCCCGTCCTCTGCGCATGGTTCACATCTCAAGATTCCTGCTCACATTGGTCTTATTCCCACTTGCTTCGCCATAATTACTTCCTTCTCTCCTTCTTAGTCTATTCTTCTCGTCAGCTCTGCTCGCTTGCTACTGGCTCCCATTCATTCATTGTGACTAATATCACTGCGATCTTCCATCCCTTCTTTCCTTATTTGACAATCGCAGTGATATTAGTCAAAATCAAATCACTGGCTCGATCCCTGCTGAATTAAGCACTCTCAGAAACCTGGACGATCTGTAAGACTGCGTTGTCATAAGTCTGCATTACTGTGCCTGCTCGGTGAACATTGGATGGACTAAATAGCTGCTGCGCTCGACCACCATTCTCTTTTTCCTGTCCACCTGCTCTGCTCCTCTTTGTTGTTTGGTTGCCAGAATGGTAGACCCCGTGCCAGGGAGCCTTCTTTCCCTTCCTCCTCACACCTTCATCAGTCCACTCATCACGTCCCTTTGGCATCCCTTGCATTGCATTGTACTAGCTAGCAGTAGTTTTCTTAAGTCCGGTTCACATATAACTCGTTTTGTGACAGAGAGCATTTTGATGCAATAATTGCGTCGGTAGTTGTATCATGTGTAATGAGAAATTGTCCCTTTAGGGAGAAACATGTATCTGTGCGTTCACCTTCTCAAGTAGCTAAGCATCTGGCGGCAGTGTCCGCCAGTTGATAGCTCAAGTCTCAAGAAGCTTATTCATTTGCATTGCAGTGCACTTTTCACCTAATCAACTTTCCAACCCTTGCATATGTTTCCATTGCATGTCTTTCCATTCCTTTCCATTGCATGCCCTCCCATGGCATGAGTTTCCGTTGCATGACTTTCGAATGCGTGAATTTTCCTTCCTTGCACAACTCTCCAATGCATGCCTTTCCATGGCATGTCTTACCATTGCAGTATCCTCTCACACAACCAGCTTACGAACAGCATCCCTGCTGACTTTACCGCGCTCTTACTGCGGAGAGTGTGAGAAACAACAAACCAGTTAGGTTATATGCAGATCGTTCATTTATCGCTCTCTCTCCCCCACTCTCTCTCTCTCTCTCTCTCTCTCTCTCTCTCTCTCTCTCTCTCACACACACACACAAACGTTCACACACGCAGGCACACACCGACACACACACACACACTCACTCACTCACTCACTCACTCACTCACACACACACACTCACACTCACACACACATGCACACGCACTCGCACTCGCACACACACACACACACACTTTCTCTCTCTCTCTCTCTCTCTCTCTCTCTCTCTCTCTCTCTCTCTCTCTCTCTCTCTGCCTCCAAACGTGTTGCTTCTCTTTCACTCATTCCGTGTGCCTCTCTTGCCTTCACCTACCCAGGTACCTTGCGGGTAATCAGCTCACTGGCTCCTTTGATGCATTTACAGGCTATGGTTCTTACGTAAGGGAGATGTAAGTTCTCTTCTTCGCTCCAATCTCCTAGTTCTCTCTCTCTGCTTTTCCTCCCTTGTCCCCAAGAGCACTTTGGCTGAGCATTCAAAATTGTACCTTTTACTCTGATTCCGTTCTTGTTTTCCTACTCCTACATCCAATTATTCTTGTTTCCCATCAACAACTTCGCTTTCTGTGCCATCCCTTGCATGTTGTGTCCTGTTACAGGGATCTCTCATCTAACCTGCTCTCAGGCAGCATCCCTGCTAGCCTCAGTGATCTATATGGTCTGGAGATCTTGTGAGTTTGGATGAAGAGCTTATCCCTCTCTCCACTGCTCGTGTCCTTTCCTTGCCCCGGCTCAGCTTGAATGCTCCAAACCAGAGCTGCGGGCTTGAGTAAGTCCTGGATGGGCTCACATTTTGGCTGATAGGGTTTACAGTGGCAGGGAAAGATTGTGCTGGTTCTGTGCCGGGTTTGTGTCACGTTGCTGTGTAGCTGTGTCGTCTTATCCACTAGCGAACACGGCAAAATTTAAAAGGAGCATTTGGAATGGGTATTCTGTAAGAATCATTTTGTTTCCTGCTTTGCTTCAACGTCCCATTCCGGTTGCATTGATCGCTCTGTTTCCGCCTTGTGTTCCGTTCCGCCTGCCTTTGCTCAATTCCCCATCTTAGCTTTCCCGACTGACATTTGCACTTTCCATTCTGTGCTATCCTTAGGACTTCTATTCTGTTTCATCCTATACCAGAGATCTTTCTTCCAACCAGTTTGATGGCAGCATCCCGGCCAGCATCAGTGAAATTAATGCTCTTACGACCTTGTGAGTTTTGGAAGGAGAGCATGGCAAGATTTGTTTGTGTTGTGGGCAGAGCTGTAATGTGAAACGCACCTGACATGTGAGAGATGCAAGTGGAATGTGGGCGCAAAAATGGAATGTGAGAGATAGATGCATCTGGACTCCGTCTGTTCTTACTCTTTTTCTATGCTGTCATGGCTAATGTTTCTGTATTATCGTGCACCCTAGGGATGAGCAAGGTGGCGAACACCTGTTCGGTTCGCCTCGAACACGTTCGAGGCGAACCGAACAGGTTTTTTTTTTTGGCTTAAAATGTTCGCCGAACAGTGTTCGATGTTCGCCCGAACACGTTCGTGTTCGGGCCGCCGCTGCAATTTGCCCGTGACGAACACGAACACTGTTCGAGGTTCGCCCGAACACGCCTTCACAGGCGAACGGCGAACACCATTTTTTGCTCAAAGTGTTCGCCGAACCGAACACTGTTCGGTTCGGCAAACGAAGGTGTTCGTGAAGGGGCGAACACGAACACGTTCGTGTTCGCCACTTGCTCATCCCTAGTGCACCCATATGTACTTTTGTTCCATGTATCTTAAATAATCCTTTCCTGCTTTCACGTCCCCTTTGTTGAGTTGTTGTTTCCAAACAGTCTGCTATGCGTGGTCCATTCTATTTCCTTCTGCTTCAAACTTCTCACTTAGTCTCTGTTATGACTTTGCAGCCGGAACGGTTATCAACTTATCACTCTACCACCAACCGATGTACTTCGTTTGTCCCATCCTGTCTGCTGTCGTGTCATTTCTCATGCATGCTCTGTCAACACAGGTCTTTAAGCAACAACCAGTTCATTGACTCCATCCCGTCCACTATTGGCTCCCTTACAGAACTGTGTACCCTGTAAGTCCTGGTGTTGGGTAGATTTAACTCAGTTGGCCCAGATGGATTCTGATGACTCGGCTTAGCTTAGCTTCACTTCTTCAGCTCACCCTCATGCACTCAGTAAGCAAACCATGCTCTGCCTCAAAGTGATTCCGCCCAGATCATTCAGAAGCTCTTGAGCCAGTCTTGCTCAAACGATTGCTCGTGGTCGTCATTCCTGCCCACTTTAGACATAATATCTCCTCCTGGAGACATGAATCTCTCTCTTGATCCATCATTTCATTAGCTCATGTGTCTCCAAGTTCTTCTGCCGCTGCTGCTGCTGCATCACCACTGCTGCAATCAGTGGCGCCATCCATACCACTGCGGCCAGAGCTGGGTTTCTAGTTATCACCAGAAATCTGCATGAGCACGCTACACACACTCACACACAAGCACGCACGCACCCCCCCCCCCCTCCCCTCCCCCCCCAAACACACACACACACCCACACACGCGCGCGCGTGCGCCCACACACACACACACACACACACACACACACACACACACACACACACACACGCAGGCACGCAAGCACACACACACATCCCATTCTCATATACCGCTACCACCCTCCCCTGTACCCCTGCTGCCCGTAGGAAAATGGCCAGTAATCAGCTGTCAGGCTCCATTCCATCTGAAATGAGTTCCTTACAGAAGCTCACGTACCTGTAAGCCCTCGTGGAACGAACTCCCAGCTTTCTAGTCCTGTCTGCTGGCGTTCAAGTTGTTCTCCTCCCGCCCCGCTCTGTCAGTCACTCCTTTCTATGCAACCACTCCTTTATCATTCTTTGCCATTTCTACAATGTCACACAGTCCCCTGTAGACACTTGAGCTACACGCTCCTTGTCCATTATGTGGGCAACCAATCCCTGTCCATTATGCCTATTATACGTACTCTTCCTTGCCAGACCTTTCCTATGCTCTATCCTAATAGCCCTGCCTGTCACTCCTGTCTGTCTCTCCTCTTGTGTGTCTGCTCTCTGTGTGGCAGGGATCTGAGGCTCAACCAGCTGACAGGGTCCTTCCCAGACAGCCTCTCCGCGCTGACATCCCTCCAGGAGCTGTAAGGCGATCGAATTCTCATGCATCCAGAAACCCCATGTGCCCAGGAATGACATGGGGATGGGAGTGATTCTGAGGAGGCATGACATGCATGCACGGATGATGAGATGGCGCTGGGTAACTAAAAACTGCAACGGTTAGCCACAGCATATCAATAGTCCACGGGCACGCATACACATCAATGTACCATCGGCACAGAAAGGATGATGCACCATCAGCAACGGTGTATGCACTTTTGCGTTGATGGTAAGTCTGCAACATGGCTTCCATTCACTCTGGCTGTCATTCACCCTGGCTTTTCCCCATGCCTGTCATTCCCCATGCCTGTCATTCCCCATGCCTGTCATTCCCCATGCCTGTCATTCCCCATGCCTGAGATTCCCCGTACCTGTCATTTCCCATGCCTGTCATTCCCCATGCCTGTCATGCTGTCTGTGCAGGTGGCTTGACGGCAACAAGCTCACTCAAACACTTCCATCTGCAATTGGCAACCTTGTCGAAATCAGAAATTTGTGAGTGGCGATTGTTAGCTGTGTATGGCAAGCATATGAGATAGTGATGATAACCGAATATGACCTGATCCTTGTTGTAGGTATGAGAACTGCACCAGTCGCATTCTGGTTAGAGCCGGTTCGGTTCACCGCTCAACCAGCAGCAACAAGAGGTTATTTCTGGCCTCCCAATTGGATTCTAACTAGCACTTGTTTGGCTGAACCTCTGGTTCTGCCAGTTTGTCTTTTAAGGTTCCGACCTGTGCCCTGTTGCACAGAACTGGTTCGACACTACTCCTGGACCCGAGCCATGCCAGTGGTATAATATAATGTGCTGGCTGCAGCTGGGAGAGAGGCAAACCATGCTGTGGCCCACGATGGACAGGGTCAGGACTCAGCACTGTGTGCTTCATCGAGGTGCTCTGGAAGAAAGAGGGTGAGGGGTAGGAAGAAAGGGAGGCACGGTTATGTGGTATAGTGTCCCAACAGGCACCTACAAGGCAATTTATGCTGGCAGGCAGCTGGATGGTTGAACAGGAACTGTTCAAGGCTGTTCGCTCTTACACCGGAACTGAACTTGCATTCAAAGCACATATGTACCGTACTTTGTGTGGCCAACCTAACTTGAAAATTCCCTGAACGAGACTGTTTCAGTGTGATGCCATGCCCTGCCCGGTTAAACTCTGTTCAATCCTTGGGCACATTCCTGCCTAGCATATCCATACTTTAACTCATGAATGGTAATTGAAATAAAATCATTACAATTTCTGCCATAGCTTCCCTAGCAGCCGCAACAGAACCTCCGTGTACACTATACCAACGTTTGTCAGCATGGTATCTTGCCTTGCCACAATGGGCACAAGCTCTTTCATCTTGAAAAGAAAGAACCTTTGCATTAGTCTTGAGCCTCCACTACACCATCCTTTCTCATTCTGGACTCCACTAGTACAGTGCTGTCTCCTTTTCTCTACTCTTCATTCTCTCCTCTTATCTGCTGTCTTTTCTTCTCTTTTCTCATCCGCTCCTCTCCTCTCCTTGTCTCCCCTCTTCCATGTGTGCATGCACGTGTGCTTGTCAAATCCCATGCCTTCACCATGCCTTCACTATGTCTTCACCACCATGCTTTCACTATGCCTTTACCTTGATGGCTTGCAGATCTCTGGCCAACAACAACTTGTTTGGACGCATACCAGACGCAGTCACGCTGCTCACAAAGCTCAAGACTTTGTAAGACATGCTTGCTTGTGTACATACTTACGCCCGCATGCCCTCACATGCATGATGTTCTTTCAGGTGAATGCACTCATCTAGTAAAAACACACTTTTAAACAGCTGCTTCTTTACTCAATAATTGTCTACCTGCCTTACAGCATCCTGTCAACCCTTGCATGCATCATCCTCACCTACTCATATCAATTCACCATAACACCCCTGTTCTTGTTCTACAAAATGTATCGGTGAACGTTATGGCACAACGGGAAGATGAACTACCGTCTTCACCCCCGGCCTCCCACCTGCACACCATCTTCACTTGCTCGATTGTAACAACAACCACACATGGTATCTGTCTCAACCTCACCTTGTCGCCTTTTAATGCTTTGAAATGACTAATGTGCTATCTCCCACTGTCTTTTGGCCCTGTCTTCCTGCTTTTGCTCCACCCCCACAGCGACCTCTCTCACAACTATCTCACAGGTGGCCTTGTGAAGCCTGCTAGCGTGCTGGCTGTGCTTTCATACAACTACCTCTCGGGCACTCTGCCTGGACAGCCGTCAGACTTGCTCGATTCCAACTGCTTCAAACTGGCTCCAGGAGAAACTGAGCCGGTGCAACGCACGCAGTCAACATGCCGCGCGTTTTGCGGCATCTCAATGGGTTCTGCCGCTGGTGGTTGCAGCGGCCATGGGGTGTTGTGCTATCCCGACGGACCTAACTTGGTGCCTACCTGCGTTTGTGAAGCGGGGTTTTACACGTTTCGAAGAACGTATTGCCTTGCGGAAGGTAATTTCGGTCATGGGTCATGGCCAAGTGGAGAGAAGCCACGTGAATGTACTCTCAAACCGGGTCAATCAGGCATTATTATTCATTTTACACTTCACACCACCCTACACTTTACACTCCCCAACCTTCAGCTTCGCACACCCCCCTAACATCTCTCTTCCTCCCTTGTTTGCATCTCCCGACCCCTTTCAACTTGTTTACAGAATCGGTCCTTGCTGCCCCACTCGAAAAGGCTATTCTTCCACCGTCAACAGTGCTGATGGCAGGAGTGAAAGCAGAGGCCAAGGGAATGTTCACTTCTGATCCGGTGCCCCTCTTTGTGTACGAGAATGGGCGAGAGGATCCGGGCTGTGGGTTTGAGCTGGCCTTCAGTGTCAACTTCACCTTCGCCCTCTCGCCCAAAGCCAAGGCCGCTTCAAACGGCTTTGCCTTTGTTGTGTCGGCAACCAAGACTGTGGGGAGCAGTGTTGGAGTGGGGTTCAGTGGGATGGACAACCGCAGCATGGCGATTGAGTTTGACGTGTTTCAAAATAAGCCACATGGCGACATGAAAAACCAGCACGTGGGGCTGAATATCAATGGCCAGGAGAAATCAATCGCGGCTGTGAAGTCCCCATTCCCACTGGCCAACAAGAAGCCGTACACGGCATGGGTGGACTATGTTCCTGGAGACCCTGGCACCATCCGGGTGTTCCTTGCAACAACAGCAGTGAAGCCAGCAAAGCCGCTGCTAGACAGGCGGCTGTCACTGTGTGCGGTGCTGCAGCCGGGGCCACCGCAGGGGGAAGGAATGGTGGAGCTGCCGCGGGCGTTCTACTTTGGCTTTGTGGCGTCCACCACAGTAAAGCCGTTCATGATTCAAACCATCCTTACCTCTGCCCTGCGCACAGGTGAGCAGCCCTCCTCACCTCTGCCCTGCTCACAGGTGAGCAGCCAGCCGGTAGCGCCCTCCCTCCTCTGACTGTGCAGAGAGATTCTCCCCATGGATGTAGTGTATCATCAGCTCTGCCCTGCGCAAAGCACAGGTGGGGAAGCTAGCCATTTCTTTGGATCCAGTGGATGTCTTGGCTGGCTGTACACATACATTACTAGTGTGTTGCTTCTCTAGATTTAAACCATCGACTTCTGCTTTCTCTTCCTTTCCTTCTCTCCTGCTCCCCTTTGGCAGATGCTCCTCCTGCACGAGAGCCAGTCACCATTTCTCCTGGCAAGTCATTGCACGCTAATGATATCGACACAATTTAGCGAATGATGATGGATTTGCACTGGAACACGTCACTGCACGCCCATTGTTAACACACAGATTAGCAAATGATACCTGATCTGCACCTGAAATCTTCACTCTACCAATCACAAAAAAAACATCTGTGCTAGACGCTTCCTTCCTAGTAGACATGCAGAAATGCTGACCTACTGCCACTTCATGCTCTCCCCTCCCTCATCTTTTCCCTCTGCCCTCACTCTGCTCCTACCGCCCATTCTACCACTACAGCCTACGGTTTAGATGTATCACTGAACACGTACGTACCTGCACGGGCGAGCCCCTTCCCGCGCTATGTGAGTGCGGACTACCGAGTGTCGGCCGGGCAGAAGGACTCGTGGGTCTTCAGGGACCTCCACTCCTGGGACTCCGTGCCCTTCCTGGGCTGGCCCGTCAAGGACCAGAAAGATTGCAGTGAGTGCCAACCCAACATGGGGGGGGAGGGGGGAGTATTTGGTGTAGGCGCAAACTGTTGTGAGAAGCGCTCCGTGATTGTTTTTTTTTGTGTGTTTGTTTGTTTGTTTTAATTTTCAAAAATATACTGTGGAGTTTCTGGACTAAAGTGGCATGCCATTTCCGACTCATTTCCTGACTTTCAACATATTTCCTGTATTCGTTCTTGTTTACCAGCACTGTAGCCACCATAAAGGCTCCTTCTTGCCGTTCTTTCTGTGCTCTGTCCATGCATCTCCTTCAGATGCATGCTGGGCATACGCAGTGGTGTCGAGCATAGAAGCAGCATACGGCATTGCAATGAATCAAGAGGCCCCAGTGATCTCAGTGGACTCGCTCTTCACAGCCATGAATCTCACCACCCAGGCAGCCAAGTGCACTGCTGGAGGCTCCCCAACTGAAGCCTTCGAGAAGCTGATGGCGCTGCCTAAAGGGGCCATCACCATGGAAGGAAATAAGGTATGGAAGGCAACAAGATGTGGAAGGCAATAAGGTATGGAAGGCAACAAGATGTGGAAGGCAATAAGGTATGGAAGGCAACAAGATGTGGAAGGCAATAAGGTATGGAAGGCAACAAGATGTGGAAGGCAATAAGGGGTGGTGTGGAAGGGACTAAGGTATGGAAGGCAACCAGGTACTGAAGCCTTTGAGGGATGTTTAAGGTGCTGCCCAAGGGGGCTATTACCATGGAGAGCAAAGAGGTAAGGTATGTCACTGTGGGATAGATATTTTTTCCCATCCAGATAGGTTCTGGTTGAGTGGCTAAAGGTTTGAATGAAACGTTTCGTTTGAACGAAGAGTAGGAGCTGAAAGTGGTTTCTTAAGCCTCTGAGAGGATCCTCCTGGCTCAGCTCTTTCACAAATGGGTGGGTGAATATGAAAAGCAATTGTATGGGTATGTCAGTGGCAAATCTGGTGTGTTAAGCGAGGATGGTGTTTAGCTGTCCGGATCAGGTTGGCGCTTAAACTGAATCATGTTGGCACCAAACTCGTTCGACTTGAACCAAATGGGAGCAACGAGGCCGTGGTTCTAATATAGTGCTCTTCAAGAATTAGTACTGTATGATCCAGGTGTATTCACTATGTTAATTACATGCGATATTGCTGGAGTATTGGTTCCGAGAATCTGTGGAAATACGCCTTGGGATTTGTCAAAACGATTTGTCGGCATCAAGCCACTTACCTTCTTTTGCCCTTTTATCTGACATTCGCCTCCCTTCCCAACCCTGAAAATTTCTTCTTATTCCAGAAAATCACATACCCTGTCCAGGGCTTTGAGCGCACTTCCTTCAAGGGGTATGTGGGGCTCATGCTGGCAGTGCAGCGGCAGCCAGTGGTGGTTCACGTTGAAGCGCTGGCTGCTTCGTTCGCCAAATACGATGGAGTGAGTGCTGCCTCGGCAGAATAACGTCCAGTTTCTACTGTGTGTGTGGTATGGCAAGTTCTGTGTGAGCTCATAGTATATGGTTCTGACCTTACGTCTAATCACTCTGTTCTGGTATGTGTACTAAGTATATTGTCTCAACGTGCAAGTGTGTGTGTGTGTGTGTGTGTGTGTGTGTGTGTGTGTGTCTGTGTGTGTGTGCGTGCGTGTTGTGCGTGCATGCATGATTTGATCATTTTCTTTCGTCATGATTGTACACCTCATACATGCATGATTTTGTCCATGATGCTTTTTCATTTTCCCTGTGTCTTCAGACATTCAAGTACCAGGACCCTGGCTGCTATACCGGCAACCTTAATCACGTTGTACTCGTTATTGGATATCTCGTGTTGAGGAATGATGGGAGCGAGAACCGCATTGCACCGCCTTTTTGGATCATCCGCAACTCGTGGGGCGAGGCATGGGGAGACAGGGGCCACATGCGCATGGACATGCAGGGAGGGGATGGCGTGTGTGGCATAAATGTGCTGCCTGGCATCTACCCCATTGTCAAGAGTGAGGCATCTACCCTATTGCTGTTATCTGAGGCCTGTGCTTCATAGTCAGTAGCAACTTACTATTCAAATCATCATATGGAAAGACAGCTATCTGTCTTTTCTCCGCCTCTGGCGATATGACTGCTATTTTTTCGCTTGGTTCTTTTCATCAATCATCGCTTAATGCAAACCTTCCCTAATCTCCCTATCCCACGTTTTTGTCTGCTTTTGTGCGATGCAGTTCCAGGGGACCCGTGTGGCTTGAAGAGTTACAAGGGCGATGGAGACCTGCAGCCCAGCATGAACCCGTGCGGTCGCTTCACCTGCACGCCCTTACCCAAGACCAACAACAACACCTGCACCTGCACTCTTCCCACCCCCCAGACCAAGCAGCCCTTTATTGAGGGTGCAAACGGCTATGGAAACACATGTGTCTACGGTGAGACATGCCTCAGATAACTTATAATTTGTTTTGAGGCGCCTCAAAACTAGCACCTGTGTCTATGGTGAGACACGCGTCAGATAACTTATAATTAGTTTTGAGGCGCCTCAAAACTAGCACCTGTGTCTATGGTGAGACATGCCTCAGATAACTTATAATTAGCTTTGAGGTGCCTCAAAACTAGCACCTGTGTCTATGGTGAGACACGCGTCAGATAACTTATAATTAGCTTTGAGGCGCCTCAAAACGGGCACCTGTGTCTATGGTGAGACACGCTTAGATAACATATGTTTTCTGTATGCCAGGTATTTTCTGTGCTGTTTTCCGTACACCTGTGTTTATGTGTGGAAGACATGTCTTCTTGGGCAACCTAAGTGAACGTAAGACCAACTGAGATTGAGAGTCACGGTTCTAGAGGACATGCGGACATGACAGGGAAGAATTCACGCCCACTCCACTTGTTTCCACTCCTTTTACACCGAAAAAACTCTCTGCCTCCCTCCATCCCCTTCCACCTTTCTCCCTTCCTGTCTCTCCTCCGCCTTTGTCAGTGGACGTGTGTGGGTCATACTTCAAGAACCCTTGTGCCGTGGGCACATGCATCAACGATGGCAAGGGCGCCTATTCCTGCATCTGCCCTCTCAACTACGTCCCCAGCACAACTATTGACAACTTCCCCACCTGCGACCCAGGTGCTGCTGCACCCCAACAGCTATAGCCCTCTCTTGCCTTTCCTTGTATTGAATTATCACTATTCCACTAGTTCAGCTAGAAGTCGCCTGAAATCACACCCTGCCCTTTCACCCTGATTCTCTCACTGTCATTCGTGCTTCTTCACACTCATCCACTTTGCCTCCTGGTTGTTCAACAAATGTTGCCCAATCTCCTCCACTCTCCCTCCTTCACTCCACCCTCCATCTTCCAGCTAACACCACCGCGGTCAACATGGTTGTGAAAGGTGACAACTGGTGGTGCTCTGACATCTACCCTCTCGTGGGCCTCACGCTATCGCAGTTCACATCGCAAAACCCAGTAAGGAGAGAGAAATCAAAACCGGGGGAGATCATGGCACGCATGACAAGGGCACGGGTGAAAGGAAAGGATAAGGGTAGGGGATACTGGCTTGCTGGCTGACATGCTTCTACGGTGCACAAACATGGAAAGTGAGGTGCAGGCATATGGTTAACTGGCTTGGTGGAAGGGTGCGAGGTGGTGGGGTTAATTGCTGGAAGGTTGTGAGGTGCTGGGAGAGACGCGAGGTTGCAACCGCCTTGCAAACTCCATGCGTGCGCTTCTTGCTGCCCGTTCATATGTGTGTGTACCTCTGGATACCCCCCCAATGTATGTGCTTCTTAATACAGTCACTTGTGTGCACGAATTTTGAGGCGCCTCAAAAATCTTCTTGCTGCCCGTTCATTTGTGCGCTTCCAAATGCAGTCTGTCGTGTGCACCAAGGCCTTGCCTTACGGAAGAACGCTTCGGATTCTGAGTCGACAATAAAACGTGCCTCTGGATGCCCCCGCCTGCCCCTATGTCTGTCTGTGCTTCTTATTGCAGTCTGTTTTGTGCACTAAGGCCTTGCCTAAAGGAAGAACGCTTCGGATTGTCAATACTCCTGCCGTCCCCTGCACTGCATACTTCTACACTCTCAGCGTGAGTGCTGGCTGGAGTGGAGCCCTTTTCATGTCCTGTTTATGTTATTCTGGTGCAAGGACTCATCTTATTACTCGGTTCTGGTGCATCATCCTTCATTATCACTTATCATGTTTCATCCCTTCTCTGCTCCCTTCTCATCCTCCAGGGAGACACTTGTCTTTCCATCGCCAAATCTCTTCGCACCACCGTGAATGATCTCCTGAATATCAACCCCGGCCTTGAATGCACGCAAACCATCAAGGCTGGCTGTTCTATCTGTGTGGAACGCAATGAAACCTATGCCTACAGCGTCCCTGAGTGTGTGAAATACACCATTCTCACAGCAGACGACACGTGCGAGAAAATGCTGCAGGGGCAGGGATTGCAGAACGATCCGTCTGTCTGGGCTGAGCTCTACCGCAACAATCCCGGCCTTCTCTGCTCCAACGTCGTCCCTTCCTCTGCCTCGGCCGTTGGCAGCAATGCTGGCGTGCAGGTAAGGAGTGGAAGGTGGAAGTGGGATAGTAACAGGATAGGAACAGGAGGGGGGGGGGGGGGGGGGTGTGGTAGATTGAGAGAATGAGGAGCGCCATGAGGTTTTCTGTCTCTTGGTTCACTTGTGATGGAACCTCACAGTGCTGCTCACATGGTTCACTTATGCTATGTTATTTTAAGCATGCATGATGCATGCATGACGTATGTATGATGTATTCATCCGTCTACTACCTTCCCTTGTTGCACCCATCCCCCTCGGCCCTCTGCCCTCTGCCCTTCCTGCACTCCCAGGTGTGCCTCAAAGCTGAGTATTGGCCGTTTGAACTCGGTAAATGCAATAAGGGCCGGCCCAAGAATGTGACCCCATCGCTTTCCTGTTCTGCTGCCTACAGCTACTATGGCGGCACTAAGGCCCAAGCAGCTGCGGATTTCAATACCTACAATGGCAATGCCTGTGCTAAGAATGTTGGGGCAAAATTCATATGCGTGCCACGCTAGATAAATGTGTTACTTTCCATCTCAATGGACACCCATTTCATGCTAGGAAGGGGGTGAGATCAGGGTCTACAGTCGGAGTCACTCCACTGTGCCTCCCGCTGTCTTCTAATGCCTTGTCTGGTTGTCATTGCGGCTGTATGTTGAGTCCTGTCCTGTTTGTTGTAGTAAGTATTCATGTATGTTCTGGCGCTGGACCATTCTTCATGTTGGTCTGAGTGGAAGCTTCTTTTTGTATTATATATTAAGTAAAATATTACTATTAATGCAGACTTTTAAGAATTTGTTATATGAAACGACCTGACTACTTACCTACTGTCATCGGCCACACAGGTAGAGCGCCCTGGAGAAGAGAGGCGAGGCGATCATTTTCTGCTCATGTAAACCAGAGAATCGGCCCTTCACACTCCAAAGCACCACTACACTCCTTACAAAATCATCTGGTCGCACATCAACAATGTTTCATTTACACAACGGTGTGCCTTCCTCCGCAGCATCCAGGGCTTTAACCAGCCCCTGTGTTGCTGCCACAATATTGGCCTGGTCAAAAATAGCAGACACCACAGCAACCCCTCCCAATGCTCCACACGCACTCCCCTCCCACATGTCTCTAAATTCACCTGAAGATTCACCTGCAGGTGCTGACCTATCTGAGTCACCTGCTCCAGAGGCAACAGCATTAGCCACTCCTTTCACCACATCTGAAATGTTCCCTCCTTTTATCCCCCCTATAGCCACAACCGGGAGCTTCGATACAAGACACACGTCCGCAAGCCCCTCCACGCCAATCGTTTTGTTATTCGCCTTGGTATTTGTCGGGAATACACCCCCGACCCCGATATAATCCGCCCCGTCCCGCCACGCCTTCTCCGCGTGCTCGCGGCTCTTACACGAGACACCGATGATTCTCGTTGGGCCGAGAATTTGCCTGACTGTAGCAGCATCCATGTCAGATTGTCCCACGTGAATGCCGTCTGCATCCACTGCCAGGGCCACGTCCACACGGTCGTTGATCACCAACGGGATGCCGTGCGCCCTCGCCACTGCCACTGCCTCTGCTGCTTGCTGTTGGGAGGGGGTGGGACGTGGGGTGGGATGGGGGGTGGGGAGGGGAGGACGGGAGGGGGGACGAGAAGGGGGCAGATGGCACGTGGGGTAGGGGAAGGAGAGGGGGGCAAGTGGGCAGAGGAAAGGGAAGCCGGGAGGGCAAGGGAAAAGCAGTAAGAAGGCAAGCATGGGATGGGGGGTCCCTATCGAATTGCCCCACGTGAATGCCGTCTGCATCCACTGCCAGGGCCACGTCCACACGGTCTTTTATCACCAACGGGATGCCGTGCGCCCTCGCCTCCTGCACCGCCTCTGCCGCTTGCTGTTGGGAGGGGTTGGGTGGTGGGGTGGGATGGAGGGTGGGGAGGGGAAAGGATGGGGGGGGGGTGGGGAGGGGGAAGGGGGCAACGGAGCACGTGGGGTAAGGGAAAGTTAAGTACGCAAGGATTTGTAAGCAAGGAGGAAAGGGGAGGGGAAAGGGCAAGGGAAAGGTAGTCAATAAGGACAAGGATGGGATGGGGGTTCCATATCGGGTTGCCCCACATGACTGGCATGTGCATCTACTTCTGGGACCATGTTGACATGGCATGCGTGGATACCCAGTATGGGGTGGTCCCGGGCACCATTCCATGATCCCCAGGATATAGAGAGAGCACGTGTCACATGAGACAGAAGGGAGGAGCTGGAGAGAGGGCGCATGGCATAGCATGACAACATGGCACGTGGCACATGGAACAACAGTGGCATCACCACTGTAGCACAGAATTTGTTGGGGACAACAGGGAGGTTATTTGTATCCCAGGTGCCCCTGATGCCCTTCTGTCCCCACTGTCCCTACCCTAGTAACCCCAGTGGCCTTAACGACCCCAGTGCCCCTAGTAACCCAAATGGCATGGAGTGTCCCTCATGTCAGAACTTGAGCTTAGAATCGATACTATAGTAGTGAGCTCAAAGCTCTTTAAGTACATCCGGAATGAGCAAGGTAGGGATGAGGAGGGAATCAGGAGGCAATCCTAGGGAATCAAGGGTAATCCCAAGGCAATCTCCAATTGGTGGGTTGGAGATTGCTTGGAGATTACATTTGGGTTTGGTTGGGATGTGGGTGTACACCCAAGCAAACACAAAGTGCAAACTACACTAAACTAGGATGTAAAAGTACAAGTACAAAATGTGAGATTGGGGCCTAACACCAACACCCCCCCTGAGGCGTCAATCGAACTCATGGCGGAGAAGGAGGAGCGCAGAGCCCCATGGCGCCAAGGAGACGATGGTGGGGAACCTTCCCAAGGGGCTTGGTGAACAGGTCAGCCAGGTTGCAGTCAGATGCCACGTATTCCACCTTCAGCTGCTCTTGTTGCACAAGGTGACGAATGAAGAAGTGCCGAAGTTCAATATGCTTGGTGCGGGTGTGATACACAGGGTCTTGAGAGATGTGGATGGTACTCTGGTTGTCACACCAGAGGGTGGGGGCGGACTGTGGGAAACCAAACTCCTGGAGTAGGAAGGTGAGCCAACGGGCCTTCAGAGCAGCCATGGTGCCAGCGTAGAGCTCTGCCTCATAGGAGGAGAGGGAGACTGCAGACGACCTGGTGGAGCGCCAACTGACAATTCCGCTCCCAAGGGTGAAGCAGTACCCTTGAGAGGAGCGTCGGTCGGTCTGGTCATCAGCCCAGGAGGAGTCGGTGTAACCTTCCAGGCGAGGAGGGGAGAGCCCACCGAGTGTGAGAACGTGAGACTTGGTGCCCTGAAGATAGCGCAGCACCCGCTTCGCCGCCTTCCAGTGAAGATCAGTGAAGCGTCCAGGGGCCACGTAGCGAGAGAGGACACTGACAGGATAGGCCAAGTCCGGTCGGGTGCACATCATGGCGTACATGAGGGACCCAACAAGCTCCGGGTATGGCTCAGAGCAGGCCTCTGGTGTGGGTACAGCTGGAGCTGTGAGGAGGTGTTGCAGCGGCAGCGGGGTGGCAACAGGTGTGCATAGCTCCATCTCAAACCGCTTGAGCACATTGCCGATGTAGAACTCCTAGGAGAGTGAAATGGTGCGAGCCTGGCGATCACGAGTGATCTCCATCCCCAGGTAGTGCTTGAGGTCGCGGAGGTCTTTCATCTGGAGGGCCTTGCTCAGGGCTGCCTGGACAGAGGTCATCTGGGTTGAGTCCTTGGCAATAAGGATGAAATTATACACGTAGACCAGGATGTAGAATGGCGCAGAATGACGGCGGATGAAGAGAGTCGGGTCAGCAGTGGAAGTGTGGAAGTCCAGGGAGAGGAGGACTTCTTTCACCTTGTTGTGCCATTCGCAAGGGGCTTGCTTAAGGCCGTAGACGGGGCGATTCAGCTTCCATACAGTGTTGGGAGGGAATTCTCTTGGGAAGCCTTCGTGGCTGTCCATGAATACTGTCTCCTTAAGACGTCCTTGTAGGAAGGCGGATGAGGCATCCATGGATTTGATCTCAAAGTCTTCTCGAGCTGGGAGATCCATGAGCGTACGAATGGTGGGAGGTTTGGATGTGGGGGAGAAGGTTAGGAAGAAGTCGCGGTACTGCTGTTGGGTGAAGCCCTTGGCTACGTAACGCGCTTTGAACACCAGGGCCTCGTCTGGGAGCTGTTTTACACGGAACAACCACTTGCCCCCGACGATGTTGACTCCTGGAGGTGGAGTCTCGTCGTCGGAGGAGTGGTTGCGGGTGTGAATGCTGCAATCTCCGCGTCCATGGCAGCACGCCATTCAGCAGCATGAGGGCCTGAGAGAGCCTCTTGGACGGTGAGAGGGATAGGGATGGTCGGGTTCTCCGCGAAGTTGAGGGAGGGTGAGTCAGTGATGTCGGGGAAGATGTGCGAGAGCTGAGGAATGACTGCATGAAGATCATACAGCTCCTCATGCCTGTCTTCCAGAAGGGTAGAGGGCACATCCCCCTCAGCAGTAGGAGGCGGTGTGATTGCCGTGTATCGAAGAACCAGCGCGAGTGGAAGAGCAGCGCCATGCGAACGAGTGCCATGAGCCACCGGAGAAGAGGGTGGGGCAGGCGGTGTCGGAGGGGTTGACTTAGGAGGCTTGGGCAGGGGAATGGGCCGCCGGTGGTACATGATCAGCTCGGGCGACTGTGGGAGAGCGGGTTCCTCTGTGCTGGGGGGAACCGGGGGAGGAGGTGGGGCCGGAGGGTGGGACCGCCGATGGTAGGTGATAGGTGGGCTCGGAGGTGGCTGCACAGTCGGCGGAGTGGGAAGTGAGGGGATGGAGGAGCAGCTGCCGAAGACACCGGTGAGAGCGGGTCAGAGACCGCAGAGGGGGACGGTGCGGTGGCAGGAGGGGTAGGAGGTGAAGGGGCCAGAGCAGGCGGGAGGTTAGGGGGCGCATCAAAGTCTGCCCACACGAGGGAGGGTGGACCAGGGAGAGGGTCCAATCCCGAAGTGGAGTAGAATGGGCGGGTCTCATCAAAGACAATATCGCGGCTCCAGACCAACTGTTGAGTGGAGGGATTGAGGAAGAAGTAGTCAGGCGAGTCGGCGTTGTGCCCGAGGTAGATGCACGTCTAGGTCTTGGGACAGAGCTTGCCGCCGTGCTGCCGTCGAGCCTAAGATGAGGAGGACATAGGCGGTGCACCCCCAAACGCGAAGAGAGCGAGCAGTGGGCGTTTTCCCGAGCCAGAGTGTGGTTGGAGTGGTGTCGAGAAGATGCGGGTGGGGGTAAAGGTTGTAGAGGAGGGCGGCGTGGTAGAGAGCGTACCCCCACAGAGAGTGGGGAGCACCGAGCGATCTGCACCAGGGTGTGGTTGTGGCTCTCAGCTATGCCGTTCTGCTGCGGGCTGTCAGGGAGAGTGAAGTTTTGCTGGATGCCTTCTGAGGAGCAGAAGGCTTTGAGCTTGTCGTTGCAAAACTCACCACCACCATCTGAGTGGAGGCGCTTGACTTTGCGGTCAAAGGCAGTCTGTGCCTGTTTAACCCACGCCATGAGGACCTCTGGAACCGCAGCCTTAGTGTGGAGGAGGTGAACAGAGACATAGCGAGAGTGGTCATTGACGATAACAAGGAAGTAGCGATAACCACCTCGTGCGGGAACAGGGGCAGGGCCCCAGACGTCCAGGTGTACCAGGTCCAGTGGTCCTGCTGCGACAGAGGGTGAGGCCGGGTGGGGCTGTTGACGCAGTTTGCTCTTGGTGCAGTCAAGGCACATGGGAGCGGGGGAGTTTGGTGGTGGAGGAAGTGAGGCTGGCAGGCCGAGTAGAAGTTTCTTGGAGGCCATGTCAGCAAGTGTGCGGAAGTTTGGGTGCCCGAGCCGATGGTGGTAGAGTATGGTCGGGTTGGAGAAACTGCGGCACGAGCATGGTGAGGTAGTCGCCGCTGTTTGGGTGGTTGACACCTGTGGGATGGGTACTTGCAGCGTGTAAAGGCCGCTACTGCTGGGGGTGAAACGAGTCAAGAACTTGTTGGTGAGTGGGTCGAGGATATCACCATAGTTCTCGTTCTCCCAGAAGATGGTGCGTAACCCAGCTTCCTGCATTTCCGTCTAAGCCACGAGATTGTGGCAGAGTGAAGGCACGCACATTCCAGTGACAGTGCCGGAAGGGAAGGCGGGGCACGGGACTGTGGATGAACCCTTGGCATGAGTGGTGAAGCTTGAGTCAGCTCCTAGGAGAGGGATGGGTGTTGCGTAGGGTTTGAAGGAGAGTGTCTCCTTGAGTACAATGTGTGTGGCGTCGCTGTCGAGTGTGAACTCTATGTATTGTGGTGCTTGTGATGAGTCGAGGTACTGGGAGGAAGCTTCACTAATCATGGCAGTGCCAGGAAACAACAGGTTGATACGCACATCAGCAGGAGCACTATCACTAGCACTAGCCGAAGCGGGGTCTGGGACCTCAACTAGGTTGGCCTTACGAGGGCGCATCCAGTTTGGCGGCTTCTTGTCCACTCCGTGAATGGCATACCATTCGTCATCTTTCTTCTTGAAGCACGTAGCAACGGGGTGGTTAGTGCCACCACACATTTGTCCCTTGCGATTGCCATACTTGACGACATAGGTGCACGGAGGGAAGCGGTTGCACTGGAAGGACGCCGAGGCGAGGGCCGATGCGACACTTGCTTGCGGCATGGGAGCGCGGATGGCGTAAGCCTTGGCTTGAGCCGTGGAATCTTTCTCAGCAGAGAGGAGTGCGGATGAGACCTTAGCAAATGTGAGGTCTTCCGCTGAGAGCGTGAGGAGCATCTTCCTCGTTACTTTATATGCCGAGGTGAGACCAACAAGAAGGGCGGCTGCAGAGGCTTGTTCGGGGAAGACTATGCCCAGCTCCTTCAGTTCGCCATGAATAGCCTGCACCTTGGCGATGTAGTCAGCCATTCCCGAGCAATCCTCAAGGTGGACCTGGAACATGCTGGGGATGAGGATGGCAACTCCGACCGCCGTTTTGTTCATGAACCGATCCTGGAGGTACTTCCAGATGACGTTGGAGGTAGGGTAGTTGTGGAACGTGTTGACTAGTTCGGGAGGGGTGGAGGCAATGAAGACGTTGATGATAGCAGCATCTGCCTTCTTCCATTTCCGGTACTTCTCAACAGCTTCCTCGTACGCCCTCATGTCAGTACCACTAGCGGATTCGGTCGGCTCAAGGGGGGAAGGGGGCTGTTT